AATATATAATATATATATATATATATATATAAACATATATATAAATATAAAATATATATACATATATAAAATGATTTTATTAAAACAAATATACACATGACTATGATTTATTACGGTTTATTTTTAAAATCATACAGTAAAAATTCCGATGTAAAAAAAAAACGATTACGTATAACAGTATCCGTTGATGAGTTGGCACTCGTAAAAATGTCTAATAATTTACCGAATTCTTAATGATTCATCGAAATACTGATTTCTAAATGTTATAAAAATTTCCATTGGATATCGGCACACGGATATTTTTAATATAAGTATAGTTTGCATCAACCCACGATGATAAAATGCGTATAAATATTCGTAATATATGAAATACGTAAGTACGATTCTTATCATGTATGCAGCGTTCGAACCTTGTTTCATCACAATCAATAAAGAAAGATAGATATTTGAGAAATTATTGGCTATCTTTATTGTTCATTAGATGTAAATCAAGAATGAGAGCTGCAAGAATGGCGCGATACTGATGATAATATGCATTCCGAACGCAACCTGAATAGATTGTTAGGATTACATAAAAAAATATTGATTTATTAAATTCTCGTTTAAAAGTCTTTTTTTTCTTCTTATCTCACACATTGCCGTTTTTATTGCAGAAGCTTTCGACTTGTGTTGCTTTGATTTTATTGATTCTCTGTTCAATCGTGTTGTCTTTTTGTCAATATAATTTTTCTGATTGAAACATTTTATTATGTGAAACAAGGATCAAACAGGCATATTCGATCAGAAACAAGCCGTTGCATCTCTTAATGATTTTATTTAACGATAAAGAAATATTAGTCAAGTCTTAAGTATATCAACTTTTTTCAAATTTTAAAAGAAAAATTTGTAAATATGATTTTTCTTTGAAACTTAAACAAAATTGCAAAAAATTTTGTTTGACTGTTTTGAAATAAAGATATTATTTTATAAATTAATTAACAAATCTTACATGTTAGTTACAAGAAAAGGATCGCATTTCCAAATCAAGTATTTCCACTGTGTTCCTGAAAAAAGAAAGAAGAAACAAAGAATATAAACTATTCATTTATATTCTAACAGAAGTGAAAGAATTGCAACGATTTGACGAATTTACCTAAAAATTGCATAGCTGTTTCTTGACAACTTCTCTGCTGCATGCGGTGTATCGCATCTTAAAATATGTTTGATGAAGAAGAAACTAAATTTTCTACGTAGCGCATTGGCATGGTGACATTGGTGCAACAGCAACAGCAAACGCTCGACAATAATCATCAGTGTCAGAAGGAGCAAGACCACGCGAACGCTGTTGTGTCCGCTGAGAGTCACGCGGTCGACAAGTTTCACGACGAGGCTGCACGTTCGGAAAGGGAAATCGCGGTCGTCGCTCCAGGCAATGCTAGCGTTGGAGGTTCCTCTACGCAGTGCAGTGACGTAGACGAGGACGATGAGGAAGAGGAGACGGACATTGAGGAAGGAGGTGGTTGGATTACAAATTTGCCGATATCGTCTACCATCGTCCAGCAGCATCAATCGGTCACGACCGCAAACGGTGATGTCGTCCTTCCCAACGCCGACCCGTCAAATTTCGGCGACGTGTGCGTAAAGAATTCGACGAACGTACACCTGGGTAACAAGACCTTCTACAAGGGTCCCGTTACTATAAAGCAATTCGTTTACACGAATCCCATTCCGATCAAGGATGAGACTATTTCGGGCAAATTCGACGCCGACCGCGTCTCCGACGTTAAGATCTCGAATCTGTCGACGAGCAAAAACGACGAGGCCACTAATCAATCCATTTTTCCACAAAATACCGAGTCAAATAAAGGTAATAATCGATGCTGTACAATAGATAACTCAGATCCATTTTAGTTTTTCCTTTCTGAAACAAGCAGTTTAAGAATAAAATTGCCGGGAACATTGAAAAGAATAGATCTCTTCTAAGTCTTTGGACGTCTTCTAATAATTCTAGAATTTTATATAATAAATTTTCTACAATAAATCGCAGTTCAATAAATTTAATTATAACAGTTAATTATAACGAGTATGTTTTGAAATATGGACTTCCTCTTTAAGCGTGTTACATATCGATTATTGGATGTATTCGGTTTTCCGGAGGACATTATATGTTACATAATGTCTGCAAATAATTCAACGAATAACATTTTCAACAAGAGAGTAAATTTGATAAGATTAATAAATTAGTATATTTATTTTATATATGGAAAATCAGTAAATTGTAACGAATTTATGCATATTCAAATTATTATTCCGTTTTAATTCCATTTTTTTCGAAATGGCTTCGATAATTTTTTTAAATACAATAATTTCATCAAAACCATTCATCTCAAGTTACTACAATTTTTAAAATCTATTTCCCTGACAAATGTCATTTGCTCTTTTAATATTGATTTCGTCATAACTTTGTCAGAATATAGAGCGAGTTTATTATTATTTATTATCAATTATCATCGATATTCTAGATCGAAATTTGTTTATACATTCTATTTATGCTACAAGAATTGTCTAACATTCTACAATGTAAGAACTATTTTTATCTCGAAATATACATATACACGTGTTATTTTGGGATAGATTAGTAAGATATTGCATACCACAAATTATTGATTATAAACTGTTGATTATAAATAAAATAATAGAAAACATTTAAAATCGAACATCATTTAATATAACTATAATACTATTAATTATTAATAATAATGAAATAATTGTTCTAACAGCTTTTTATAATTGTTCTAGTAATGCAATGGCTCTGGACGTGGAAATGTATCTTACCATGCCTTCTAACTATAACAATAGCTGCCATAGTGATTCTTACTGTATATTTCACTCATCAGCCGGGTACATCGGATTTCCCAGATATTCCAGACTCATCGATCACAGGTAATTGTTCATCTGGAAAAATTTTTGTTTTGCAAGCGCCATATGAGATAAACATCGTGAAATCTGTATTTTGTATTCTACATTTCAAACTTATTTATTCATCTATTTTAGAAAATATAAAAAATATATTTCTTACTTTATTGTATGTAAATACATTTGCATTCTCAGAGAATAATGTTCCAGATTTTATTTCTAAAGCATAGCGCACGCAATTGATTATAATAGTTATATTCGATGTTAAACAGTTTATAATTAGTATGCATTATGTTTCTTGATATATCCTTTGTATAATATATTCCATTTTATATATTCCTTTGTATATATATTTCATTTTTATGATTACAGGTGTAATAGGAACTTCGGTACGTTTCGTCGAGAGACAGGAATGGGGTGCGCAGCCACCCTCAGAACCCTTGAAAAAATTGCAGCTGCCAGTACCATACGTAATTATTAGTCACACCGCGACAGACTTCTGTTACACGCAGTCAGCGTGTACATTCCATGTGAGATTTGCTCAGACATTCCATATCGAATCTAGAAAATGGTCAGACATCGCCTATAATTTTCTCGTCGGGGGTGATGGTCTTGCATACGTTGGTAGAGGCTGGGACTCTGTCGGCGCCCATTCCTTTAACTATAACAACAAGAGTATCGGAATTTCTTTCATTGGTACATTCAATACGGTTGAACCGCCAGAGGTGCAATTACATGCTGCGCGAAAGCTCATAGAGATTGGTGTAAAAAAAGGGAAAATCGCGGCTGATTATAAATTATTAGGTCACCGACAAGTTTCGAAAACTTTGAGTCCTGGAGATAGTTTATATAAAATAATTAAGGAATGGCCTCATTGGTCACCTCAACCTTGACCCGATAGCATAGAGGTTTAAATTATAAATCAAATGATTTCTGAAAATGTCCAGATTCCTATTTTTTGAATATATGATTGCTGTCTATTTCAAATAGCTAATTCTAGCAAGTTTGGAACAATTGGTTGAAAATATATTGTGAGCTTACTCCTGTTACAAATTATAAAATTTTTTATATTTAGATGTCAATGAAATCACAGAAAATTCAGTCTTTATAGATTGAATTATAAATAAATGTGATTATAATAGAACAACTTAATTGATGAATCGCAAGAAAAGAGATGTTGAATATCAGAATAACATTAAAGATACAAAAGACATTACATTGTTTAAATTTTGATGAATTTGAATAGCAGTCTTAAGACAATCAACCACACGTATGTGTCAAAAACTGAGATTATCCAATTTAGTTTCTGTAAAGGAACAAAGATGCCAATGTGACAATTACTATAGTGTACTTATAGTATGCGACATTTCATAGTTGCATTAAAAATATATGAATCTGGAGATGTTAAAACATCTCGTATATATTATTATACAAAAAGATGTAATATTTGTACATTTCACTTATTATAGTCTTTTTTAATAAAGAAACACATAAGTCACATCTAACTTTTTCCCATTGTTTTTCCACTTGTCTTTTCATTAATGTTAAATAATACAGGTATAGGTTAATTGCTAATTAAAGATCTGTTTTTTTGACTGACTGGTGTATACTTATATTTAAAATGAAATAGAGATACATTTGGAACTTAAAAGCGAGAAAAGAAATTTTAATACAGTCAACAATAAAAAAACAAACTTTAATCGTTGATCGAAGTTTGGCGATGTCACTTCGAGAATTGAAATTACATGGAGTTAGACCAATCAGAATGTAAGGAACAAGGCCTCATTGTTTCGATTGATCGTGTCCTGTTGAAGCTCGATTTACGGATTGTAATCGAGGAAAGCAACGCGCAACGGTCGGCCAATCAGAACACGTTACGTAGCCGGAATCGCTTCCGGAAGAAAAACGAAAAATCTCCACGGTTTCGTTTGCACGTCGCTTTCCACGCGTTTTCATTTGGCCTGAGTCTGCCGAGCGGAGCTTCAGAGACCTGATCATGTTTTTTTTATAAAACAGCCGCGATTTCAAGAGAGTGAGATTACGTTAACGCGAAAAAAACATTGGCTTTTGGAACGCGTACTCTTCTTTTTCAAGCAAATACGAAAAGGTGCCATTGAACCATCCCGTTAAATGATGATGTGATGATCGAGACTTTTCGAGAAAGTTTTCTTTTTCTTTTGTCCCTTGCGCGACGTCACGTGGTGCGTGCGTGTGATAATCATGACTATCGTGTGGCGGGTATCGACGCATACGCAGGGTGTGCGTGAACCGCGTGTCGATTGCGCGCTTCGAAGGCCATTTTGGCGGGTGACGTGTTGCGTGCGCGCCGCCGAGCGGCCATAACGCGACTCGCGGTGCGTGAACGTGAACAGCATATGCGGCACGCCGCGAGTTTCTTCGTGTATGCGCGAAGTGTGCGGATGCAACGTGAGCATCGTGAGCGCGTCGAGGATCGGGCGAAGTACGGCGTCACGCGAGATGCCAAGGAAATGTGATTGGCGTCGGACGTACCGCCCGACGGTAAACGTAGCACTCATTGCGTACGATTTTCCGCCGCGCTAGGTGGGGGTGGGGTGGGGGGCAAGGCACTATGGGAGCAATTTACGACAGGCGCATGCGCAGATCAGTTTACAGTTGGAGCTTGGAAGAAAATGGCGTCAGCTAAGTTTCTGGAGGAAGCTCTGAGCACGGATGTCGATGAATCCGCAGTGAACGCGATAGTGGGCTCCCTCGAGACGCAGCTTGTGACGTCCACGCCGACCGTCGCCGGCCATCAAGTGAATACCGCATCGGTCAGCCAGCAGAATCACCAGGTGAACAGCGGCATTTCCAACGGGGGCACCATCACCGCGGTGCAGCCACAGAAACATGGGGTCTCGAACGGCGGCAACGCGACTACTGTGAACAGTCTAATGACTCAGGAAGTCACCAAGTCGATCACCACCAGCACCCTGCTGCCCGTGAACGTGGTTACCTCGAACACAGTGGCGCCACAGGTAATCACCACGCAGCAGCAGCAACAGCAGCAGCAACCACCGCAACAGCAACAGCAGCAGCACACGCAACCGCCAGGGATATCTCCCGCTACTTATATCAATCAAGTAACGACCAACCAGGTGTCTAGTAATCAGACTACACATATACCGAGCTTGACCAAGACGCACGAGCCAGTCAAGATCATCTATCCCACAGTCGGGCAAGTGATAGCCACCACGGGGGTGGCAAATGTGAATAATAAACTTACGTTTCCCGCTCAAACTGTCGGGCAGTTAGCGAACGGTACTTTAGGTATAACGTCACCGGCAGTGCTTCAGACCACATCGAACGTTGTTACCAATGTCGGTTCTGTCAGTCAGGCAGCCAGCCAAACGGTGACCGCAGTGAATAAGCCGACAGGGGCAGCTTTAGTGATTAAGACTAGTGTAGCACCTGGTGGCATGGTTTCAGTTCCAATGTCTGTTCCGGTCTCGGTGGCTGGCAATGCAGTCAGCACGGCATTACAAGCTAAAGCTGGAGTTACTTCGACAATAGTACCCAGCAATGTTCAGATCCTCAATGTAAATACGATGCGTCCCGCTACGCCAGTAACAGGGCAACAAGCCACTAAGCAAGTTACACCAAGAGTGGTGATTGGGCAACACCAATTGGTTGGAGCTAGAGCTGGAGGTCCAGGAGTAAGGCGTTCCATTTAGTATTTCTTGTTATGATGAATAAGATACTTTTTTTTATCTAGTCTATACAAAATAAAAAATATTACAATTTACTCTTATATATTTAATTGCATACTTATATTTTTTAGCTTAATTAAATAAATTTAAAATATATATTTTATTTTAAAAATTTAAAAATTTTTTAGAAATATACATATGAAATATTTGTTTTGCTTTGCTTTTATTCGCTAATATATAATTATAATTTATTTATCTAACAATTATTTTTTATTTATTTACTTATAATTAAAGGTAAAATATAAAAAAACGATGAAACTTACTAATGATCATTATTTGCTTTTTAGATAACCTTACAGGCACTTCACGGCCTTCAACCTGGTACTCAAGGTCATCTGTTGTTAAAAACAGAGAATGGACAGTATCAGTTGTTGAGGGTGGGTCCAGCACCAACTGCGGGTACTCCCACTGGTACTGCAGTTACACCGAATAGTATAACTGGCAATGCAGTAGTTGCTGCACCATCACCAGGCACTACTTATCGCCTAACTTCAGTGCCGACTGTAAGTAGGCTGAATACTCAGTTCACTGGTCCACCACTCGCCACCCTAAGAAAATCTGTTCAGGTGACGCACTTTTATACCTCTTACAAGACTCGTTGTAGTGCTACTGTAGATATATTATTAGTTTGTGACTTTGTTTTCTGTGGAATGGTGTTATCAGTAAGCCAATATATATTACGTTTATATAATTTGGATTCTGTCCAATAATTTAAAATTTTATTACGATCTGAAATTTTTATTATTACTCTTTATTTATTGATTGTTTGCAAACATTTCGTACATTATTATATTTAACGCACTGTACATAGAAGCATTATAATTTTTATAATTTTTATTTATTCTGAATGCAAAAGTTGTATGAGTAACTTATTATGTGCCATTAATTTTTGATAAATTTTTTATTATAATTTTAATCCACATATTTCATCCATTTATTCTAAAAATTTTAAATAGCATAATTGATAACATCTCATTATTAGCTTACTTTTGGGATGCATTTCTCTGGTAGTATGCCTTGAGTTTTATGGAGTGCAGTAAACGCATTAAAGTCCAATGTCTTTATCAGATTTAATTGCATGATTTATTTGGTTAAAGGTGTTATGTAGGAAGTGTTATGCTAGATAAAAGATAAATTATTTTAAAAATACAAAATCTTTTAGAACATTTATCTTTTATATTCATTTCTATATTCTTTATACACACACACACACACACACACACACACGCGCGCGCGCGCGCGCGCGCGCGCGGTGTGTGTGTGCGTGTGTGTATGTGTATATACACATATACATGTACTTATACATATATATGTATATACACATATTTTTCGGAACTTTATTTTTGTACTGATATAAACATATGATTATATTATTCAAAATTAAATAAAATTATTATATATATATTTATATATATATATATATAGCTATAAAAATCTATTTTTCAATTATTATAGAGAGATCACAACAATAGAAAGATTTTAAAAGACTCTGTCTCTTTTTCTCTCTTTCTTTTTCTAATACATATTATTCTGAATAATGATATATAATAACGCAATTTAATTACAAATTGGCATATTGCACAGTTATTTTTGAAAAAACTTTATATATTTTTTGATGAGTTGAAATTAGATAGGAGCTGTATATTATTAAGCAAACTATTGAAGTGAAACGATCAATGAATATTTTTTGGTATATTATTTCAATAATATATTTCATAATAATGCCTACAATTATAAAAAATTGTGAAATATGAGTCTGTACAAGGTACAAGTGCGTCTAAAGAATACGTTCTAATGAATTAGTTATATGTATAGTGATTTAATTATAGTTATAAATACTGTTATATGTTTTAATATAAAAATGTCGAAACTATTTATTAATGCAAATTATTAACTTATATGAAATTATAAGAACTTATGTGTTAATGGTTATCTGCAATAGCTATGAGTTAAAATTTTTTTATAGAACTTGTTTATATCTGAATCTTGGCATGCATGTTGGAGAAATAGATGCAATTTGTAATTTATCAGGAATGTAGTAATATAGAATTTTCCAAAGTTCTAGTTGCATGTAATAAATAATGAAAATAGATAATAATTTTATACTTTTAAAAAAACTTTTTTAATTCACATTTTTGATTGTTATATAAATATATATAAAATGAATGACTTTTAATTGATGTGTAATTTCAAAATTACATTAATTATTGTATGAGAAAATATTGTATATTGTATGAGAAAAAGTAGGAAATATATGCCATAAAGATTGTCAACAATTCTATTAACAATTTATCCCATTGTAAAGTTTATTTTTATTGTTATAATTCTTTTATAATTTATTTTGTTGTTATTTATGGGTTATTATTATTATTTTTGCATGCAAATTTTTTGTTAATCAATCATTTGAGCATATAAAGTTAGTTCTGTAATTTATGGATTTTAA